GACTAACACAAGTACCAAGGCCTACCTTTTTCATGCACGAACTTAATCTTATCTGGCATTCTGTGAAATTAAATACTTTTTCTAGCCAACTCCTCACGCCCTCCTACCTGAGCAAGCAAATTAGCCAAATAGCGGCTGTGATGCAATCTATATTTGAGTGATTTTCCAGAAGTCTCTCTTATTTTGTGTTATGAGCCATTGTGATGCATTTGGGCATTTGCCTTTCTTTCAACATTTACAGTAATTGATGATAAGGGACAGTTGAGGACCAAGGCCCTCAGTTTTTTTAAACCCTTGCTGTCAACTAACCTGTCTCTGCTCTTCTCTACGGGTAATGTATGCAGCTGATTTTTTGCTTTGTAGGCACATTGCAACTCTTCAAAATGCATTCTCCATCCTTGCATACCATACACCTCTTTCACTGACTCCCTCACTTCATATAGAGGGTTTTGGTTTTAACTGTTGTATGTTTAAAAAAAATAAATAAATTAGCACGGTATGCCTCCCTGTTTCTTATGTCCTTTGAGCCAGGTCGCATTTGTTAATTACACCCTTATGTCACTCTTGTCAAAGACTTTGGACAGGGTTGGAGATTATGCAGATTATTTTGTACATCTGAAACATGGGCAGATTCCAATTACAGCAAATTGTAGCTCCTAGCTCCTGTTCCCAGCTATTCCTTCATCTTTTGTGAGAACGATAAGGACACTATCAGGGGTAGGAAAGGAATGCCAGACTATTGTACTGAATCTGGACAGCCTTTAGCCCACCAGTAGTTGACAGAAATGCCAATAAATTATTTTTGTAAAAGTGGGACTACAGCTTCCAAAACAAAGAACAAAAACCAAGTTATACAAATGCAGCGAATGGCTGAAGTGCTCCATTATAAGACTTAAACCATACAAATGTGCATATATTTGCATGGGTTATACATAGAAGACTTGGAAAATAAAGTATAATTGATGAAGAAAGAATTATTATTACAAGTTGTTAGACTTTATGAAGTGGGCTGTACCTATATGTCATGTCATGCAAATAATTATGGGAAAACCTATTGTTCCCTAAAGTTAAGAGAGGAATGTTGGGAGCCAGATTTTTGGATATGTTTGTTAGCCACATTAATTTAATCATTTTATAAGAAAGCAAAAGAATCCGGAAATACCTGTAATTTAATTTACATTTAAATGAATTGCTGTCAAATATAAAATTATGTAAAACATTTTCTAAATATCCATTTGAAATTGCTTAATAAAACATTCAAGTGCTTTTCTACATTGTACACAATGTGTTGCACTAAATAAATGATGATACAAATGATAGCTTTTTTTTCTATTATAGTTTTGAGATATTTGCCTTTCAGTAAAGAATTTATGTACCAAATTTTTTAAATTCTGTGATGATCCCCAGCATGTTTTGAAGGTGAAGGCCCTCATTGGGTATTAATGTGATAATATATACTGGTCTAATCTATATGAGGTGTTTTTACATTTGCTCTACCTGTCAGACTCTCTTTCTACTAATTTTTCAACAACAGAGGCATCTACTGTATGAATGGCTGAATGTTTACACTTAATAAAAGCAATTTGATATGATTCCATTTCCTTACAAAAAATTTAACTGGTGATCAATCGACCTAAAAAAAATCTGTCTTTATACTATAGGTGCTCACTTGGGACCTGGGCTATCTGCATACCAATGATAAAGCGTACAACAGAGGTTTAAATAGCAGAAGAGCACACGTGAAATAGAGTAATAGTAATCATAGAAGATAGAGAAAGATTGAGACTTAAATACGGGAGATATCATGTCTCATATGGAAACCATTGGGTATAAAGAAAAGAACACAGAGTGGCTGGTGGAGCATTTCAGTAGGGGAAAAAAGTTGAAAAATGGCAACTAGACACACTAAATGGAAAGAGAAGATAAAAATATCCAAAGATAAGGAATAACATCAACATATAGACATATAGATAACAAAATGCTGTCAACAGGAAACATAAGATAACCAAAAATGAAATGACTGCAGATCACGTGTTGCGATAGGATCCACACATCCAACCTTTAAAAGCAGATTGAAGACACCCAGTCAGTCCATGAACAACATATATAAATACATAAATAGATAAATACATAAATAAATAAAACAGCTTTCGACTGGTGGTGGGGAGAAACCTTGAGGAAGCTTATTCAGATATCAACTCGGAGGACAAAGAAGCCAACAGGATGAACAACTTTAGAGCCTTCAGTTGAGTGCAGGAAGTTAGCCAGATATTGGCAGGACAGTCTCCAAACAGGTCTAAATAAGAGAAGACAGACTCTTGAAGTAAACAAGAACTGGGCTCTGGTGCTCTGAGTTGACATGTAGGCTTTTTCAACCACACAGAAGTCAGAGCTTACTTGGAGATAGAGTTAAAGCTGGAGCTTAAAATGGTGCTTTCAATAAACCAGGTCAAGTTTACAAACAAGGAAGCAATTCACAGCCATGTCCTTGTGTCGACATGTGCATCAGAAATATATTTAAACAGAGACTGAAGTCCACTGAAAATAAAAACAGCAGAAGAAGGTGACCAAGAAACAAACAAACGGACCATTCAATGCAAACCTTAATAATTCTACAGCGACAAAAGTTTTTACTGTTAAAATTATTCAGCATTTAGTAATGTGGTTGCACACACTTGCAGGGTGGCGCTCCTCATGTGCATACCGTAGCAAGCCCTTCCGCCTGTATTTAGTGCTAGGCAAGCTCTCGTTTGGATGAATAAAAAAGTGGTGCAACTGTTTTTGCTCAGCCAAAATATTATACTCTGGCACCCAAAGCCACACCAAAGAGTTTGGATTGTCCACCAAAAGCAAACAATGGAACCATTAGGTTGTGCCTAAGCAGAAACAGCCCAACCAAATGGTAAGAGGTGTCGGATACCTCTTACCATTGTGCAACGCATGTGTTTTCAAGGTTGAGTTAACGATCATCTCTGGAAGAGTATTGCAAAAGGCCACTTTCAGGGGGAGCGGTTTCCTTAAGCCCAAGAAAAGAGATTGCATATCCACCAAGTCCTTCTAAGAGACACATACTTTTCTCTAACACTGAAAATATAAAAACATCTCTGGGCCTCTTGTTGGGCTGAATAATTTGGTTATGTTTGTGGTTTGACAAGGAAACTGAAACTGAGAACTGAAAACATACAAAACCAAGGTAAAAAACACTGGAACTAGGGAGACAGCGATCGGTAGAAAAATATAAGAAACCTAATGCAAAAAGAAAAATCATTTAACGTAGTGAGACACCAGTAATACTAAAATAATTTAAATAATAACAAATAAGAACCAAAACAGAAGTACTTATGAATCACTACACACTGCAAAAAATGTGATCTAAATAAGTCATTTTTACTTCAAATAAGTGCTTTTTGTCTTCAATTGAGGAAGAAAGTGAAACACTTTGCTAATGGAACAAGACAATTTACATTTAAAATGCATTGTCTTGTCTCAAGTGTATATTATCTAATTATCTTTTTTTAAGACTAAATATACTTATTCCATTGGTAAATCATTTTATTTACCCACCCAAATATAGAAAATGTTGACTTAAATGTTGACTTATTTCTATATTGTCTTTGCAGTGCAAAGCCATCTCAATAAGTGTCTATCATTGCCCCATCACAAGATGCCATAAGAATTGTACCACACTCACATACGCACACACATAAACCCATACTGCTGTCAGTTCATGAGCCATATGGCCACATATAACACCAGCTGTGGATAAAGAAGTAGTAGATTAAATGTGTGTCGTAGAGAGCATATAAACATGTCTGCAAGTTGATATGCTGTTTCAGCAAGGGGTTAAGAAAAAATCATCATTGCTGTTTTTTTTTATGACTGGGAATACAGAACCCATGTACCATAAACATTTTAGGCTAAACCATTGTCAATATATGGTGTACTTACCAAGATAAGGATATTCTGGTCCTGACATTAGTGTAAGTAAAGAAAGAGTATCTGCAACATTAAAATCTGTGTCATCCTAGAGTACGTGGCAGTTTTAAAGTCTTACAGTTTATTAGTATTAGACATAGAACATTGCTGTAGTAAGAGTAGACAACATTACTTATGAATAAAAACTTTGCTAAACAAAAATTAAGAATTTTTTTCCTATGCAGGATTCCTACACCTTTAATCTGCTTATTCAAATAGGGGTCAACATGATAAGGGAGCTGCTCTAATGTCCAGATAATATGTCACCTAGAATAAACCATGTTCCCCCATTTGTTTCCAAGAATATATAATTCCTCAAACCTTTTTTTAAGACTTCATTTGTTGTCAAATGTTGAAGCTATCCCTGAAATAAGTCAGTAAACAAAACTATGTAATCAAATTGCTACTGAACCAAAGTATGTTTCCTCTTTTTTTGTGGCAAAAAATATAAACTTAATAAAAGAACATCTGAAGAATATGTAGTTCTTTTAGAATGCCTACTACCTGTAATGCATAAGAAGACAGTAGAGAGTAGTGATGGGTGCCATTTAAATAAGAGCTTGCTTTTGTCTTTTTCTGTAAGGGTACTAATATAGACGCAAAGGTAGTAATGTAGACGCATACAATTGTATGAAGAAGAACACTACTGTTGCTTTTTGCCTCGTTATGGTAATGTAACTCTGGAGATGAATTAGCAGAGGTAGCTAATCAAGACATAACCCACAAGTCTTGGAGCTTTTGATGCAGCAAAAAGTTTAAAAAGTTCAGAATCAATTATTTCTTCTTTCAATTACCATTTATGCAGTACTCTTTGTTGGTCTATCACATAAAAGCGATAACTTGGAACCCATGACTTTGTGGTTGAAATAGCAAAATGTGAAAACAGAACAGTAAAAATGTAAGAATTAAATTATTAAATTGAAAGGATTCTACCTTTCTACCTTGACACAATTTGTAATTCAAATATTTTCATCCTGTGCTCTGAGTAAAATAAAGGTATTGTGATGGCCTTGCCATCTATTCACCTTGACATCTCCATTGTGTCCTTGGTGAGATAGACTATCCAGTAGACCAAGTTAAAGGCGCCAAACGAAAGGGGAAAGAGGATGCGAGAGTATTTGTCAATGATGCTGGTGCCTGTCAGAACATTGTTGGCCGGTACTGCTGAGCCTTGCTGTAGAAAAGCTTGGGCATTGACAGGAGGGTTTGGGAACGTTTTTGCAGGGCGCTCAAAAACTGGTGCAGAGTTCATCCTCTTCTTCAATACACTACTGGCATCCACCTTTAAGAGAAAAAAAACAGAAACAAGACTTGTAAGAAGAAATTTGCCACAAAGATGAATTATTATGTGTTCATAATTACTCATGCCGTTTTACTAAGATTGACCGTTTATAAATATACCTACTGTAAGTCTTTACAAATATAACCTCTTTCCAAGGGGCATGTATCTCATGGTATTTCACTCAGTCCACATTGAAAAACAACTAATGGATTAAATATGCTTTTATGTGCTAAGCATTTATATACAGTAAATGAAAGTGTCTTCTAACTTTAAGAATAAATATAGTTTAGAAAATGTTGTCCCACAATATTTTCCCTGTTAGTAAGAATCTAATCTTTTAGAAGCTAAAAAAGAGCAAACAATTGAAATCAAAATTACATCCAGTGAACAGAGACAACATTTTACTTTGGTTGGGTGTTTATAGTTCCCACTGGTGGAAACTAAGAAAATCTTAACAATAAAACACTCATCACACTGTCACAGGATTATTCTGGACCTAAATATGTTTTACCTCATACTTCCACATTACATAATGCTCTCATTGTAAGTCAGATACAGTATGAAAAGAGGAAATATAGCTAGTAACACCAGCAGCAAAAGTTAAGCTTCTTGCAGCAAACCAAGAGTCTAGAAAAAAAGCCAGTCTGTGTGAAGCACATAAATGTCACTTTGTGATGTTTCTGGGTGATCGCAGTAAATCAAACAGTCTTTTAAATAATTAAAAAGCTGATGCATACTGATGCAATAAACAGTTCTAGGGGCAGATAAAGAAAAGATTCATCTAAATTATTAAATAAATGAAACTCGGTTTCTCACTGAGTTCAAATATTGCTAAACTTTAATGTAAAGTTCCCCATTTTCAGAGCTAAAATGAACTTGTTATAGTTCTGCTGGATTTGTCTTAATATTTTATTCTTCTGTTTGAGCTCAGAACCTCAGTGTGTCTCAAAAAATGTTTCCTAGAAGAGGCTGGAGGACATGGAGTATTTGAAAAGATGGCTGTGACAATAGCTATAAAAATGAAAGAATATATTTTCTGTCTTTTCTCTGCAATCTACACTTCAGTCTTGTAATTAGTCAAATGCAGGTTTTGTTTTCTACTGTACACTCATGTTGTCTACAAGAGTAGTTTCTTCTCATTATAGTCATAGAGCAAACAATTAAAATAAAAAAGAGATTGATTAAAATCATAGTGCTCATCTAATCATGATTTCTTTATTTAACTATGGTTTAGGAACTTCGTTTATATCATGCGTTGAACCAAAAATACAAACTGTTTAGTCAAACTAATTATACACATGCTCACCCGGCAGGAGCATATCCTGCAAAGGCAACAACTTGATGAAATTAGCTGGTAATATTGAAAACTTTTAACAAATCTGACTCGATTATCTGATTGAATTGTCTCTGTAAAAAGCCTTGAGGTCATGTTTTCTGCTATGTAAATAAACGGAAATGAATTAAAGCAAAGTGCTACATTCACATGCTTTTTAAAAAGCAGCTCCACTGGATATATATGAAATGTCTCCATGGTGCTGCAAATGTTGCAAGAAATGAGCGACAAGTAAAATCCTGCAATGTTTGAGCTTTTTAGTTTATTAAATCAGTTTTTTTTTTTCTGATTAATAATTCCCTAAATGTTAGACTTTTTTTCATAGCTGGAAGATAAAATAACATGGAGCTGATGTTCAGAAAGAATAAAAAATAAAAACTCTTCCAGATTAATGTGTAATGAGAAGGTATTTCTCTTGATCTTGACATACAGTAATGCCCTCAAACTTATCATTTATTTAAATCTAAAGATTAGAACACATTTATATACATTATTCAAATTACCTGTGTACATTGTACGACGTTAAGTGTACATGGAACTGATTCAAACAAGGATATTTAAATAAAGAAAAAACCCTCATTTAAGAGGGTCCATCCAATTAGTGTTAAAAGGTAGGGACATTTAGGCCAAAGTGGAGGTGCATCAATGGTCACCATGATAAGTGTTCTCCGCTAGCGCTGATAGTAACTAGAGAAGAGGACAATGGTATAAGACTACTATATGGTATAGAAACTATAGGAAGATGCTCCGATAGTTTGTCTAGAGTACGTACCTTTTGATATTCCTATCCTCCACATAGAAACAATGCCTCTCATTTTACTTCGTGTGACAGGATTCATAAGCACAGCCCCGCTTTCAGAGTTTAACAAATATGCGTTACTCTGTGATGTGTACTGTGCAAGACACATAACAATGCATCCACCCTCATATTTGGGGCGTTTTATAAAGGAGAGTTTTAGCTGTCCACTACATTTGGTTAACTTTTGTTTTTCCTAGTTCTTTTCCAAAAGGCTGTAGTCCTAATTTGAGCATCATCCATGTGCATGTTGTGTAACAACATCTGTAAGGCTGAAGACCATATTGAATACACCAGGACAGTTACTTTTCTGGCCATGATAATGTTTTATTGACCCTATGAAAGGTGAAGGAAGTGGAGCCAGGAACAGAAGCTACAATTTGCACAAGGTGGATAGAGAGTGAGTCTTGCCAATTACTAATTAGTTTGTTTAGGCTATTGTTCCCAGATTTCTAAAACCTTTGGCAAAAGTCACAATTAGAATCTCAGTCAGTGGCAGCAGAGCGCAAAGTTAACCTCTAGAACAATCTAAAAGCAGTAAAGAGAAGCCATCTGTCCGAGCCAAGGTCTAGAACCTGATGAAAATAGCATTTGCATGAATCTAACTTCAGACATTTAATTATGCACAAGCAGCGCTGGATAATATTGATAAATGTTTAATTCAATTAAATTCAATTCAGTTTATTTATATAGCGCCAAATTCACAACACATGTCATCTCAAGGAACTTTACAGTTCAACCAGATCATACAGTCAAATTGATACAAAGTGGCACTAATCACTGTGTTAGAGCATTATTTGTAATATGAGCCATTTCTAAAGCTGTACTGATTTAAAGACAACAAGCAAAAAAAAAAAAAAAAATACAATAACTATAGGTCTAACGCTTTTGCCTCATGACTGCTAGGCTTCCTTTATTCCTGGTGGATTTTCTTTTCTTTCTTTTCTAAATCATGAATAGTCTTCCCACCTACATATTTGGTGAAAGCAGTCATTTTCCATGATGCATCCCTCCTACTCTATCTTTTCCTACTCTCTCTGTGTGATTCTATAACACAGAGATGCACACACCAACACATACCCACAACCCACTCTAACCCATCTCTCCATCTTGTTTCATAAAAAAGGATTGGGCACGCTTTCTAAGTCCCCACCCCTCTTTATTGTGGTCACTGCCCTCCTTCCTCTGAGCTTGCAGTGATCTGCTTAATCTATGGCCCTTACATAATCTGCAGCAGCATCGTTTGCAGAGCAACCCCCTGTCTGCTCATGTCACTCTTTGTGGTTATCACATAGTTACAGAGAAAAAAATATATGAGAAAGTAGGAGCACTAAACTGTGTGGATGTGTGCGTGGAGGGAGGGCAAACATAGTTTAATCTAAATTGCACACATTAATGTATATCTGTCTGAATATCTGTTGTGCGTGCAGATCAGAGCAAAAAGCCAGAATAAAATGGGAATTATGACGCTTCCATTAACAATAGAAGTTGGAGAGGGGGAGTTGAAATTTTGGAAATGTGCATGTAGGCACAGAAAAATAGGTTAAAAGAAACCAAATACACAGCTTTAAGAGATCAATCACTTAGGTAAAAACATATACCGGTAATAGAAAAGCTGTGTTCGGCATGTGTGTTAATCTAATATAGAAGAAAGTAGAAAAGCTAGACCAATTCCATTGGGAAATTTTAACCACATCTGAGACTAGGAATAAAACCTATATACATAAACATAGAACCAACAAGGTTTATAAAGGGACCATGACCCTTAAGATATTTATTGAAAAATATACTGGAAACAGTGTGAACGTTTTTTTTTTTTTTTTACCTGATTGAAATGAAGTGTTTTTGCACATTTATAGACTAAACATTCACATATGAGGATGTCCTCCTGGAAAATATATTACTTGAGTGACTGTGATTAATGATCATCTGATTTATAAGCTAAAGGTGCACCAATCATCTTTTTTTTCCATCAAATTTATACAGAAAGTATCAGCTGGGTGTTAAGAAATAAAATTAGACAAAGCTAAAAATGTGTAAGGCATTTGAAAGGTGTGAAAAGTAAACACTGTAAGAAAGGAGAAACACTTCTTTAAGGGTATGCTCATTCAGGCTAAAGGAACATAGCCTTAGATGAGAGAATTCATAAGGACAGAAATCAGTAGGTAACAGGAAGATTAGTTTATGTTCTGTTTTATACTATTTACTAATGTAACACTCTCAAGGGACATATAGGATTAGAAGAAGTTAACAGTCTTGGAAATCTTATCATTAGGAGTCTTCTTAATAATGCCACTGTGCTAACCATGCTTAGCGCTCTAATTAAGTTAAACTCCTATATAAGGTGTGTTAGATAGATAACTGTGTTAGCCCTGTTGTGACCTCGTATTGTATAAAATAAGTAAAAAAAAATCCTGTTTAGCTGTCAATCTGTGTTACATCGACTGTTCTCTCATTCATTATGCGACACCATCTTTTTTTCCTAACATTAACACATATGGATCATGACACTATAGGATTCATTTATAGGATTCATTTACAGTTACAATAAATAACTTAAAAAATTAACAACTTAGCATAAAGAGTTTAATTAGGCCTTTGTCTTTTGGACTATTATGAATTATGTTGAAATAATCTGGTAAAAAAAAACAAAAAATAAACTAGGATTTGGCACATTACTTTTCATTGAAAAAAAAAGAAAAAAAAATTCCTAGTAAACATGCATATTTTCACAGGTCGGCAATACCTGCAAAACTTTAGGCAACTTGTACTGTGACATACAGAAATTGTTTTATTAGCAACTTCAAGTAAAGAGGATCTAATGGGACATAAAAAGAAAAAAAATAAATAAATCTCGGATTTTGTCCGAGAGCTGCAGCACTTTTTCAGCTTGAGATTACATTTAGCAATCCAGATAGCTGGAAACAGTCGTAGAATTAGAGCCAATATGCATTTTTTCTGAAGCAAATAGGACTAACTGATGTATAACTAAAACTTGAGAATATAAACTGAAAAAAAACATAACTAAAGCAAACTAACAGCTGTATCGTTACTATTTAATGCTGTCCATTAAAAATATCAGATATATTTGCAATCACAAAGCATCTGGCACGGCAATCATGATGAAAGCAATTATACTGTGACCACATGCCTCCAAAATCTGTTCTGCATGCTCAAAATTAGAAATTATTTTTGTATTGCACTGCAGTTCCCTTATGTGACATTTAGAGATTTAGACACAATAGCAGTCATAGACAAATATAGTAGACATGCTTTGCTAATGATGCCAAAACTAGGTACACTATATAGTAAAGAGTTTTGAATTGTTCAGTATGAAAATACAATTAAATGGTTTTTATCAAGGTAAAATGTGTGGCAAAATTAATACGAACATCCAACCAACTCCAGAAAATACAATTTTACACAGCTTCCACTTAATGACATAGTGCCAGGTGGTTAAGTGGGGTAGGCACATCGAAAGAGCGGACCATTTACCACAAAACTCTGACAGCCACTTGGCCTTTAGAAAGAACAAACCAATCTTTTCCATAAAAACATGCACAACAGTCCTTTAAACATCACAGGGAAGCTTAGGTACTGCTACCACCTGGACACAAAAACAGGAACTCTGGGAGTTTAAATGAAGAGACTGTTCACAAAAATACAGCAACGATAAAATCCCTAAAAGCCAGTTCCATAACCAGTGTTGAATTTGTATAAGTACAAAAGGGCAACAGCAAATCCAGCATAGCTGTTAATAATCCATAAACACCTGAAGAGAGCAAAAAACTCTTACTAAAAAATATATTGCTGGCAACCTGCCAATAAATATTTGTATACCAACAAATACAGCAAATGTGCAAAACAAAACCCTGGTAAGCACATCTTCTAAAGCACATTTTACTGCTATTTGCCATGAGACTCTGTAAATAATAAAAAGTAGATTGGATTTAATGTGTTGTTAGTCTGGAGTAGATGAAATGCTAAACTACACTCACCGGCCACTTTATTAGGTACCCCATGCTAGTAACGGGTTGGACCCCCTTTTGCCTTCAGAACTGCCTCAATTCCTCGTGGCATAGATTCAACAAGGTGCTGGAAGCATTCCTCAGGGAGTTTGGTCCATATTGACATGATGGCATCACACAGTTGCCGCAGATTTGTCGGCTGCACATCCATGATGCGAATCTCCCGTTCCACCACATCCCAAAGATGCTCTATTGGATTGAGATCTGGTGACTGTGGAGGCCATTTGAGTACAGTGAACTCATTGTCATGTTCAAGAAATCAGTCTGAGATGATTCCAGCTTTATGACATGGCGCATTATCCTGCTGAAAGTAGCCATCAGAAGTTGGGTACATTGTGGTCATAAAGGGATGGACATGGTCAGCAACAATACTCAGGTAGGCTGTGGCATTGCAACAATGGTCAATTGGTACCAAGGGGCCCAAAGAGTGCCAAGAAAATATTCCCCACACCATGACACCACCAGCCTGAACCGTTGATACAAGGCAGGATGGATCCATGCTTTCATATTGTAGAGGCCAAATTCTGACCCTACCATCCGAATGTCGCAGCAGAAATCGAGACTCATCAGACCAGGCAACGTTTTTCCAATCTTCTATTGTCCAATTTCGATGAGTTTGTGCAAATTGTAGCCTCAGCTTCCTGTTCTTAGCTGAAAGGAGTGGCACCCGGTGTGGTCTTCTGCTGCTGTAGCCCATCTGCCTCAAAGTTCAACGTACTGTGCATTCAGAGATGCTCTTCTGCCAACCTTGGTTGTAACGGGTGGTTGTCACTGTTGCCCTTCTATCAGCTCGAACCAGTCTGGCCATTCTCCTCTGACCTCTGGCATCAACAAGGCATTTCCGCCCACAGAACTGCCGCTCACTGGATGTTTTTTCGTTTTCGGACCATTCTCTGTAAACCCTAGAGATGGTTGTGCGTGAAAATCCCAGTAGATCAGCAGTTTCTGAAATACTCAGACCAGCCCTTCTGGCACCAACAATCATGCCACGTTCAAAGTCACTCAAATCACCTTTCTTCCCCATACTGATGCTCGGTTTGAACTGCAGGAGATTGTCTTGACCATGTCTACATGCCTAAATGCACTGAGTTGCCGCCATGTGATTGGCTGCTTAGAAATTAAGTGTAACGAGCAGTTGGACAGGTGTACCTAATAAAGTGGCCGGTGAGTGTATATTTACTCTTTCCTACTAAACATCAATCTGTCTTTAATAAAACAGAGAAGGGAAACTTGAATGGGTTTGAACAAAGGGAGACATATCTAGACCACACTAATTGGTCTTGGTCATTCTACGGTGCATTTGAATCTTTTGGACCTAGCTATTAACAGGAAAACTTTTTTCAATTTTGAGTAAATGAATACTCTCAGGAGAATTATTCTGTCATAAATGCTACCTTAACACAGCAGCCTGAAGTGCACCAAATCCAATTTTTTTGGACACATGCAGCCTGCAGCTGACCTTTTCATGATAGCTTGACCTGTGTGACCTGTGTCTGAACGGCCAGGCCGCATTCATCCAACATGAACGTTATAAATACCCTACAAAGGTCACTAATCAGCACCTTGCTACGCAGAAACTGGGAGAAAAACAACCATGGCAAATGATAATGCAGAGAACAGTCATTATTTTGAAAACTCTCTTAAAAAGATTGTATTGTTGAAGCACTGGCTGAGATCTATAAAAGAAACGAAAGACTGCAAGATCCGCTCCAGCACTAACATCCATATTTACTTCCGTAAACATGCTCGCTTGTGACATCATTGCATCCTCTACTGCGCATGCTGGATACTTAAGTTGTGTGAATGCAGTTCACACAGGACATCAAATACATTTCGGAAAAGTATCGGATTTCAGAAAAACAATCTCAATTGAGCATTAAGGCCTGCAGTGTGAACATTGCCAAAGATGCCCTTGAGTCAAAAGTTTAATATCCTCTTCAGTTTGCAGTAAAGTTTTCCAGTCTTGCTAATGACCCAATTTTTTGACTCAGATGTGTTGAATCAAAGTCACATTTAAAGGTTGGAAAACACCGGACACAAATTAAAGATCCCTGTGCTATCCCATTACTATGTCAGTTACTATATCTATGTATAATGCTACTGCAATAAATTTACTTTGAGGGATTTTACCAAATTTCCTCTTCTAACAAGCACATTTTAGCTTATAACTGACAAAATGTTTCCTTTCCCTATTTTCTGTAATAGTGGGCTTCATCATTTATATGCAAATTTTACAACAGTTCCACCCTTCTGGGTAACCAATACCTTTTGGATGGGCCTCTGCTTTACCACACCTGAGTCCATGAATCAGGTCATTAGCAGGACTTTGGAGAACTTAGCTGCATGTTGAAGAGGTACAGTAATTTAACAATTTCATTCTGTTGTGGAGGCAGAGACGCACCTAAAATATGCAGGACACCAGACCTCAAGGGCCGGAAATGAGGAACCTTATTTAAGCCGTGTTGCAATACTACCGATTTTCTTTATTTTTCGATACTTCATTTTCTATGTTCTAGAGGTTTATAAAAGTCCAAAATGTGGAACATCCTGGAAAACTCAGCGAGTACAAATAAAAGCCACTGTATTTTGTAGAATCTCCTTTCTGTTTTACAAGGAGAAAAAAAAAAAAAACCCAAGAAGCATTCACATCAGGGGAGATTAATGAAGACAGGTACAGGCATGTAATGAGGCCAAGGAAAATAATTTTTTTTAGAGAACCATCTGTTCTGATAATCATTTGGAAAAGATACTCTGCAGTTTAGATGATCTGTACATATATATCCATAATTTAAAAATGTACATAACTGTAAACAACTTTAAAGGATTATTCATTGAAAAAAATATTTCGCTACTATTTGACCCAAAGGCTTGGCAAAAAAAAATGCAAAAAACAAATTATATTGTGGTTTTCAGCAGAAGGCAGGAGATCCTCCCTACTTGGTACTACACTTTCAGAAGTGGCTCACATGTGGTAAGGTTGATATTTACACATAATACTGGATCTACAATAATGTAAATACAAGGTGAAAAAAAATGCACCTGACTTACTGATGAAATGTCTCCCTCATTCCCTGTGCTTCCTGCTGGAGCCACAGCTGCAGCCTCTTGAGCTGCTGCCTTAATGGCTGCTGCCTTCCGCAGCTCTCTGTTTGCCTGGAGTGTTGAAAAGTAGTTGACAGCCGCAAACTCAATGAGGGCAGAGAAGACAAATGCAAAGCAAACAGCTATGAACCAATCCATTGCTGTGGCATAGGAGACTTTTGGGAGGGAGTGTCGTGCACTGATACTTAAAGTTGTCATGGTCAGGACAGTGGTGATACCTGAAAAAAAGATAAAAAGAAGTTAAAAACTGCTGTGCATTTAATAAAAATACCTGGCATGCATCAAACTTCAACAGTATTTTCAATAAAGCATTTTAGTATATTGCATTTTGGTTGGGATAGAGGTGTAAAGAAAAACGTTTACATGAAAGGGATCTAAAAATGACTTTTTTGTTAAGATGCAATAGCTTTAAAGGGGGAGAGAGAGAGATGATTTGAAACCTTCTTAATATAGACAGAAACAGTTTTGTGTAATATATGTGTATTTTACTATTTTCCCAACATGATCCAAAAGAGTAGGAAGTGTAAAGCTGCTTCTTTTCTTGCTATCTGACTACAACTGCATCTAATTTTATATATTTGAATGACCAACTAAGTGAAAGCAAAGCAATACCATTATAATTTTTTGCAAATGTAACATTTTTTGCACTAAAAAATTAGATTAATCCATTTAATTGGTGCAAATCTCTGACATACTATTTGCTTTTTTTGCTCACAAAACACATTTCTTTTCATGACATATGGGGACATTTCAGTGACTAGCATTCATCTCATACAGCCTAACCCAGACCCTTACCCTAACCTTAACTTTTAGCAACATATACCTTATCCCAGGCCAGCTGACAGCTTTGCTAGGGCCCAGAAAAACACAGTCTTTTTGGAGGGGCCCTCTACACCTACCACCTACCTTTACTGAAAAAAATCCTCCTGCCTGTATTTCTAATGGTCAGAGTCAATTTTGCCCCCCACACTCGTCCTGTGCCTGGGACTAATGACCCCTAGTCATGAAGGTATCTAGCTTAACTTGCTTAATCTAGATAACAAAGTCTAATGTTATTTACCTCCATAGTCACACAGGGTAGTGGTACTGGTGCTATCCAACAGCATAATTTAAGGAGCTGCACCCCCACCTACCATCCTGCCTTTGCACACTCACCCATATATACTTTCTTAGCCTGAATTAATGCAGTTCAATAAAGTTTGACAAGTAAGAATATATGCTAGAGCTCTGAAACAAAATAATACATCTGAGTTTGATTTAACAATTTAGTGTTATAACCAACTTTTTCACACTAATAGCCATATAGTAAAACACAGATAGGCTCTAATACATTTTTATTGACCCAGTTAACACTCTGGCAGAATGAGGGATATTGTTCTTTTACCAACAGTTGTTTAAAAATGCCCTTTCGAAAAGGGCTCAATGTAAGATAACTAATGCCTGGTCGGATGAAGAAAAGAAATAAGAGTGAATAAAATGTTTAAAATTAGGGCACTATAATATATATAATGTGCTGTTAATGGTTGTTAACAACAATTTAGTGATATGTACAAACAGTTTTCTGCTGCCAACTGGTGAAGGCAAGAATGTTATAAATCAGATGAAAAAAAAAAAAAAAAATATATATATATATATATATATATATATATATATATATA